CTTGGAGAAAATTGTGGCCAGATTGTGTCCACAAGAGGGATTTTGAAGGATTTGGGGTTGACCCTGATGAGCCTATGTCAGTTGTTAAAGCTATTGTGGCACTGGGGAGTTCCATGGGGTTGGATGTGAGTTTGGAGGATGTGGAAGAGTTGGTGGAAGACCACAATGAAGAGCTCACCACTGAGGAGCTGCAAGAGCTTCAGCAGGAAGAGCAACAGATCGCAGCTCAGAATCTTGCTGCAGAGGAGGAGGAAGAGAGATGGAAGAAGTTGCCTTCTTCAGAAATTAAGGAGATTTTTGAAATGTGGGGTAAGATGGAAAGATTTATGGAGAAACATCACCCTGACAAGGCTGTTGCAAGCCATGTTGGCAACATGTACAGTGAAAAAGTCTTGGCCCATTTTAGGAAAGTGTTAAAGAGACGCCAGAAACAGAGCTCTCTGGACAGTTATTTTGCGAGACAGGACTCCAGTGACTCTCAAGCTGGTCCTAGTGGCATTAAGAAACATAGAAGAGAAGTAGCCCCAGAAAAGCAATTGGTACCTGAGGTGTTGATAGAAGGGAATTCCCCTTCCAAACTGTAACTAATCCAATCTCTCTCCACCAACAGTCTTCTGTACACTAAGAAGAATCGCCAATAAAGGTAAGTGTTATGCTGTTAATGTTTCATTCATCATGTCCCATTGTATTGTTTATGTACTACATCTATATTTCACATAAAAATTTTTTTTTGTTTTAGTACTTCTGGGTGTCAGGAACGGATTAATTGTATTTATATTATTTCTTATGGGGAAAATTTATTCGAAAATCGTAAATTTCGATAATAGTAACACTTCCAGGAACGGATTAATTACGATAAACAAGGGACCACTGTATATGGAATAGGTGGTAAGTTACTAAATGCTGTAAAGAGTTTTGATGAGGATAGTGAGGCTCAGGTTAAGGTGTGTAGAAGAGAGGGAAACTACTTCCCGGTAAAAGTAGGTCTTAGACAGGGATGTGTAATGTCACCATGGTTGTTTAATATATTTATAGATGGGGTTGTAAAAGAAGTAAATGCTAGGGTGTTCAGGAGAGGGGTGGGATTAAATTATGGAGAATTAAATACAAAATGGGAAGTGACAGTTACTTTTTGCTGATGATACGGTGCTTATGGGAGATTCTAAAGAAAAATTGCAAAGGTTAGCGGACGAATTTGGGAGTGTGTGTAAAGGTAGAAGTTGAAAGTGAACATAGAAAAGAGTAAGGTGATGAGAGTATCATATGATTTAGATAAAGAAAAATTGGATATCAAATTGGGGAGGAGTATGGAAGAAGTGAATATTTTCAGATATTTGGGAGTTGATGTGTCAGCGGATGGATTTATGAAGGATGAGGTTAATCATAGAATTGATGAAGGAAAAAAGGTGAGTGGTGCATTGAGGTATATGTGGAGGCAAAAAATGTTATCTATGGAGGCAAAGGAGGGAATGTATGAAACTATAGTAGTACCAACACTCTTATATGGGTGTGAAGCTTGGGTTGTAAATGCTGCAGCGAGGAGGCAGCTGGAAGCAGTGGAGATGTCCTGTCTAAGGGCAATGTGTGGTGTAAATATTATGCAGAAAATTCGGAGTGTGGAAATTAGGAGAAGGTGTGGAGTTAATAAAAGTATTAGTCAGAGGGCTGAAGAGGGTTTGTAGAGGTGGTTTGGTCATTTAGAGAGAATGGATCAAAGTAGAATGACATGGAGAGCGTATAAACTGTAGGGGAAGGGGCCGTCCTCGAAAAGGTTGGAGGGAGGGGGTAAAGATGTTGTGGGCGAGGGGTTTGGACTTCCAGCAAGCGTGCATGAGCGTGTTAGATAGGAGTGAATGGAGACAAATGGTTTTTGGGATCTGACGATCTGTTGGAGTGTGAGCAGGGTAATATTTAGTGAAGGGATTCAGGGAAATCGGTTCTTTTATATAACCGGACTTGAGTCCTGGAAATGGAAGTACAATGCCTGCACTCTGAAGGAGGGGTTTGGGATATTGACAGTTTGGAGAGATATATTGTGTAATTTTATACATACTTATATACTTCTAAACTGTTGTATTCTGGGCACCTCTGCAAAAACAGTGATTATGTGTGAGTGAGGTGAAAGTGTTGAATGATGATGAAAGTATTTTCTTTTGGGGGATTTTCTTTCTCTTTGGGTCACCCTGCCTTGGTGGGAGACAGCCGACTTGTTGAAAAAAAAAAAGTACATGTATATTTTTTTTTTCAACAAACCGGCCGTATCCCACCGAGGCAGGGTGGCCCAAAAAGATTAACAAAAGTTTCTCTTTTTAAATTTAGTAATTTATACAGGAGAAGGGGTTACTAGCCCCTTACTCCTGGCATTTTAGTTGCCTCTTACAACATGCATGGCTTACGGAGGAAGAATTCTGTTCCACTTCCCCATGGAGATCAGAGGAAATAAACAAGAACAAGAACTAGTAAGAAAATACAGTGGACCCCCAGTTATTGGCCGGTTCTGTTATCGGCCAACTCAGTGATCAGCCGGTTTTTCAGTGCCCAGTTATCGTCCATTAATTCGGTGAATGGCCGTTTGGGACGCGTTTGTCCGCCGGCCCCAGCAGCTTGAGCATCAGTTTGGCTGTGTCTCTGGGCGTGTGAGGAAGCTTCTGCTTATTCATCCAAACATTTTGCTATAATCCATTGCTTTTTGTGGTTATTGATTGAGTGCAACTACAAAATAAGCAACCTTGGGCCCAAAGAAACACAATACATAGTATATAAAAAACATGCATTGTTTATATGCAATGTATATTTAATAATATTCACTGGTACATTAAATGTCTTATTTTACGTTAATATAGACATTTTCATTAATCTGTCTATGATATTTTCTTCAAAATTATATAAGAAACACTTAACATATCATGCAGCATATAAACATAGCATATAAACATGCAATGTTTATATGTTATCAAGTGGAGAGTCGGATGGAGAGTAAATATTACATTTTCTCTGATGCAGCGTTAGAAAAAACTGAATCTGGCGACTGGTGCAATAATCGCCCTTCATATGAGTTTCTTTATAATTCTTGGCATGAATTATTCATTACTTCTCCCTTTGTTTATCATGGCATCTAAAAGTAGTTGTTAGAAATGATTCAACTCAGTGAACATGGTAATAACATGGCTGTGTAATGTAACAATATGGCTGTGTAGTGTAATAATATATCTTTGTAGTGTAGCTCAGGGGATGGGGCTACATACATGTACTGTACCTACATCTACCACTACCTACACTGACTTCCTACAAATAAATACTACTCACCTCTTGCCCTACATTAAGACTACAAGTATTTTAAGGTAAATAATCAATGTACTGTAGCAGTAAATGAGAGAGATTAAAGAGGTGTGTGCAATGTAGATTAGGGTGCACACTTTTGTAGAGAAACACCACCCTGACCAAGCTGAAACAAGCCATATCTGCAACATGTTCAGTGACAAAACCCTGTCCCACTTCAGGGAAATCTTAAAGAGATGCCAGAAACAGACCTCTATGGACAGATTTGTTGTGCAACAGGGGTCCAGTGACTCTCAAGCTGGTCCTAGTGGCATCGAAAGACAAAGAAGGGAAGTAACTCCAGAGAAGGCTTTGCTACCTGAAGTCTTTATAGAGGGGGATTCCCCTTCCAAACACTAACCCCTCTCTCTTTCCTCTTCCCTATCTTCCAGAAGCCAGCATTAGCCTTCAATAAAGGTATGTAATACTTACATAATTGTTAAAAAAATTAATTTTTTGTGAATATTTTTGTTTGGAGCAGATTAATTGTATTTCTATTAATTCTTATGGGAAATATTAATTTGGTTTTTGGCCATTTCGGTTATCGGCCGACCTTCTGGAACGGATTTCGGCCAATAACCAAGGGTCCACTGTAGAAAAAAACCCGGAGGGGTGTGTATATATAAGCTTGTATATGTATGTTAAAGTGGGAGTTGTCACAGTTGCATTTGCTGATGACACTGTGCTCTTGGGTGATTCTGAAGAGAAGTTGCAGAGATTGGTGGATGAATTTGGCAGGGTATGTAAAAGAAGAAAATTGAAAGTGAATACAGGAAAGAGTAAAGTTATGAGGATAACAAAAAGATTAGGTGATGAAAGATTGGATATCAGATTGGAGGGAGAGAGTATGGAGGAGGTGAATATATTCAGATATTTGGGAGTGGACGTGTCAGCAGATGGGTTTGATAGGACTGAATGGAGACAAATGGTTTTTAATACTTGACGTGCTGTTGGAGTGTGAGCAAAGTAACATTTATGAAGGGATTCAGGGAAACCGGCAGGCTGGACTTGAGTCCTGGAGATGGGAAGTACAGTGCCTGCACTCTGAAGGAGGGGTGTTAATGTTGCAATTTAAAAACAGTAGTGTAAAGCACCCTTCTGGCAAGACAGTGATGGAGTGAATGATGGTGAAAACTTTTTTTTTTCGGCCACCCTGCCTTGGTGGGAATCGGCCAGTGTGTTAATAAATAAAAAAAAAAAATGTATGTGTAGTGTGACCTAAGTGTAAGTAGAAGTAGCAAGACATACCTGAAATCTTGCATGTTTATGAGACAGAGAAAAGACACCAGCAATCCTACCATCATGTAAAACAGGTATGTACAGGCTTCCGTTTTACACTCACTTGACAGGACACTAGTACACCTCCCTCGGCAGTTGGATTCAAGGAAACCTGTTATTTTTATATAGCCGGACTCGAGTACTGGAGGTGGGAAGTACAATGCCTGCACTTTAAGGGAGGGGTTTGGGATATTGGCAGTTTGGAGGGATATGTTGTATATCTTTATATATGCTTCTAAACTGTTGTATCTGGGCACCTCTGCAAAAACAGTGATTATGTATGAGTGAGGTGAAAGTGTTGAATGATGATGAAAGCATTTTCTTTTTTGGTCACCCTGCCTCGGTGGGAAACGGCCAACTTATTAAAAAAAAAAAAACTTATGTAAGTATAACATTAAACTCACCTCTTCTTGAGTTTTCATTATTCTAAGTTTCTGTGCAAATTCCTCAGATTCATCTCTTCTGATATAGCCAATCAAACAGCCATCTTTAACCACTTCTAAGCACTCAGCATATGGAGCTAAAGGAGAGCTATGAATTGGTGTCATTCCAAGTTTAGTCAGTGCTAGGCCTAAAGCTGAAGGGCTCTTAGGAGTATGATTGAGAACTATGCAGTTTTGTGCCAAGTGATTCAGTAGGCCACACGGTGCCCCATCAGGTGTATGCACTGGGCAGATGAAGCCTAAAATATACAATAACGTACAATTATATTAATTTACAATTCCAAAATCCTGTTACAGGCCCTCATCTGGAAGGTGCAAGAGGCCAATAAGGACACATGAAATTCTTGAAATTGCTTCTAACCAACAGGGTAACCCATTATCCTCAAGTAATCAACCAGAAACCTCAAACTTCTTCCCAAGGAATGTGAGATGAGATAAGATGTAAACCAGTGTGGTTCCAGATTTAAGAACAGGTGGTTCCCAACTGCTCATAAGTAGGAATAATGACTCTTTGGACTGACTTTCAAAAAAAATCATAAAAGCTATGAAGGTTATGGCAAAAGACATAGTAAAAAGGTCTCAGAAAGGGCCTATCTAAAACATACTAGAAGCACATACAAATTCTTCCAGTTTTTCTTTGTTGGAATATGTAGACTGTTTAAAGCCATTCAATTTATTCCTTAAGAGGACTTCCACACTCACTCAGAGACAAGACCCCAACATTCCTCCGGAAACTCTACATCATCTCAACATAAGGACATGCAAAGAAAATAATAAATTTGCCCCCACATGTTAGTAAATATTTGTTACCTTGAGTATACCTGGAAGGTGTTCCAAGGGTCAATGCCCCTGTGGCCTGGTCCATGACCAGACCTCATGGTGGATCAAGACCTTATCACCCAGGCTGTTACTGCCGGCCACACACAAACCAATGTATGAACCACAACATGACTAGTCAGGTACTGACTTTAGGTGTCTGTCCAACTCCTTTTTCAACACAGCCAGGGGTCTACTGATAATCCCCCTTATGTATGCTGGGAGGGAGTTGAACAGTCTTAGGCCAATGACACTTATTGTGTTGTCTCTTAGTGTACTCATGGCATCCCTGCTTTTCATTGGGGGGATGTTGCACTGCCTGCCAAGTCTTTTGCTTTCATAGAAACTGATTTCTGTGTGCAAATCTGGGACTAGTCCCTCTAGGATTTTCCAAGTGTATATTAATTATCATGTATCTATTTTTTTTTGCTGATGACACTGTGCTCTTGGGAGATTCTGAAGAGAGGTTGCAGAGATTGGTGGATGAATTTGGTAGGGTATGCAAAAGAAGAAAATTAAAAGTGAATACAGGAAAGAGTAAGGTTATGAGGATAACAAAAAGATTAGGTGATGAAAGATTGGATATCAGATTGGAGGGAGAGAGTATGGAGGAGGTGAATGTATTCAGATATTTGGGAGTGGATGTGTCAGTGGATGGGTCTATGAAAGATGAGGTGAATCATAGAATTGATGAGGGGAAAAGGGTGAATGGTGCACTTAGGAGTCTGTGGAGACAAAGAACTTTGTCCTTGGAGGCAAAGAGGGGAATGTATGAGAGTATAGTTTTACCAACGCTCTTATATGGGTGTGAAGCATGGGTGATGAATGTTGCAGCGAGGAGAAGGCTGGAGGCAGTGGAGATGTCATGTCTGAGGGCAATGTGTGGTGTGAATATAATGCAGAGAATTCGTAGTTTGGAAGTTAGGAGGAGGTGTGGGATTACCAAAACTCTTGTCCAGAGGGCTGAGGAAGGGTTGTTGAGGTGGTTCGGACATGTAGAGAGAATGGAGCGAAACAGAATGACTTCAAGAGTGTATCAGTCTGTAGTGGAAGGAAGGCAGGGTAGGGGTCGGCCTAGGAAAGGTTGGAGGGAGGGGGTAAAGGAGGTTTTGTGTGTGAGGGGCTTGGACTTCCAGCAGGCATGCGTGAGCGTGTTTGATAGGAGTGAATGGAGACAAATGATTTTTAATACTTGATGTGCTGTTGAAGTGTGAGCAAAGTAACATTTACGAAGGGGTTCAGGGAAACCGGCAGGCCGGACTTGAGTCCTGGAGATGGGAAGTACAGTGCCTGCACTCTGAAGGAGGGGTGTTAATGTTGCAGTTTAAAAACTGTAGTGTAAAGCACCCTTCTGGCAAGACAGTGATGGAGTGAATGATGGTGAAAGTTTTTCTTTGTCGGGCCACCCTGCCTTGGTGAGAATCGGCCAGTGTGATAATAAAAAAAAAATCTTTTTCTCCTGCATTCCAGGGAGTACAGGTCAAGGGACTTCAACCATTCCCAGTAATTGAGGTGCTTTATTGTACTTATACATGCAGTGAAAGGTCCCTGTATATTCTCCAGATCTTCAATTTTGTCTACCTTGAAAGGAGCCCATTAGCATACAACAGTACTGCAGCTCAGAGAAAGAGCAGTTTGAAAGGAATCATCACTGGCCTGGGATTCCTAGCTATCCATCCTATCATTTTCCTAGCAGATATAGTAGAGACATTGTTGTGATCTTTGAATGTGACATTCTCTGACATTATCACTCTCAGATCCTTCACATTAGCTCTTTGTTCTAAAGTGTGGCTGGAATTTGTTTTATACTCCAATATATTTTTTATTTCCTCGAGAGATACAATGCATATAGTGGATTTACTCATGTTGGGATGCCTTGATACTGATAAAAGGCTCTTGATCAAAGGAACTGAAGCTATTTTCCTTATTGCTTGGATCAAACCTGATTACCTCCTACTGACATGTGCACTCACTCATCAGTAGTCAAAAAAAAAAAAAAAATTCCGCCTTATTAAAGTTTTCATTTGTATTTGGAATTAGAAAAAATCTATGAAATTTATTTAACCCTTTCAAGAGTACTGTTTAACCACAGAAGAAAGACGAGTCTGCAAAACGACTGTCCGTGGAACAATAAATTTACAAAAATTTCTCAGCAGATCAATTACATATATCATTGGTATTTTATCATTATATGTGACTGGCGTAATAATATTCCTCCTACATTTTTCTACTAAAATATTAATTTCACAAAAATATTTTTCTACTAAAATATTAATTTAACCCCCTTCTGAAATGGTAGAGAATCTTTTTCTGAAGGTAATGTCACCAAAAGTACAAAATTTGATGGAAACTTATGAAATTATACAGATGCAAATTTAGCAGTCCGGGTGCAATTTGTGCAAAGGCAATTTTGCTTACTTTGAGTACTATTTTAGGCCAATTCCATTGCTCCCTTCAACTAAATTCTTAGCTGTTTCACTAGTATGTCTTTTGTTCAACTGATTAAGCACACAAAACCACCCATGAAACTATCAGTACTGTCCTGTAAAGTACACAGAGTTCAGTAATTTGGCCAATTTTACACAAAATTAAAAAAAATCCATTTTAAAAGTAGAATCCAAAATAAACAGTGTAGACATACCAGGCACTAAAAAAACATTTCGTATGTTCATTAATCATTCCTGGTTATAATAAAATATAACCAGGAGTGATTATATTTTAGGAAATTGGCAAAAATCTAAACGTTTCTGCTACTTTGATCCCAATTTCAACTAGTTTTGGTAAAGAAATCATTAAAAATCCTCTCTATTTTTGTAGTACATTTTCCATTCTATCATATGATACCAATAAACATCTAATAAAATCTTAAAACCTATCCTAGAAAACATCTCTAAATCATTCTGTACCCATCATGCTCCACATGGAGCATAATTTTTTATATACTTAGCACACTCACCTTACTGACCCATTCTCTCATATCTAGGCAAAAATTTACCACTCATAGCTTATTTGAGGGGAGATGTACCCAAAACACAGAGCTACGTAAGGGACCCTGGCATCAATAATGTAGATCTATGTGATGGCAACTAAAAGGGCTAATGATATTAATTATTTACATCTTCTTTTAAAAAAACGGCTGAATCCCATAGAGGCAGGGTGGCCCAAAAAGAAAAACGAAAGCTTTTCTTTTTAAATTTAGTAATTTATACACGAGAAGGGGTTACTTGCCCCTTGCTCCCGACATTTTAGTCGCCTCTTTTACAACATGCATGGCTTATGGATGAAGAATTTTGTTCCACTTCCCCATGGAGATAAGAGGAAATAAATAAGAACAACAACTAGTAAGAAAATATAAGAAAACCCATAGGGGTGTGGATATAAATATGCTTGTACATGTATGTGTATGCAAGATTTCAGGTACATCTTGCTACTTCTACTTACACTTAGGTCACACAACACACACATGTATAAGTACATATATACACACCCCTCTGGGTTTTCTTCTATTTTCTTTCTAGTTCTTGTTTTTGTTTATTTCCTCTTACCTCCATGGGGAAGTGGAATAGAATTCTTCCTCCGTAAGCCATGCGTGCTGTAAGAGGCGACTAAAATGCCGGGGGCAAGGGGTTAGTAACCCCTTCTACTGTATATATTACTAAATGTAAAAGGAGAAACTTTCATTTTTCCTTTTGGGCCACCCCGCCTCGGTGGGATACAGCCGGTGTGCGAAAGAAAGAAGAAAAGGAGAAACTTTCGTTTTTCCTTTTGGGCCACCCTGCCTCAGTGGGATACGGCCAGTGTGTTGAAAGAAGAAAGAAGACATGTTTGTGTAGTGTGACCTAAGTGTAAGTAGAAATAGCAAGACATACCTGAAATCTTGCATGTTTATGAGACTGAGAAATGACACCAGCAATCCTCACATATGCAACAGTTAGACAACTTTATTCCGAAACGTTTCGCCTACACAGTAGGCTTCTTCAGTCGAATACAGAAAGTAGGCAGGAACAGTAGAGATGTGAAGACGATGTAATCAGTCCATCACCCTTAAAGTCGTAGAATTTGAGGTTGTCAGTCCCTCGGCCTGGAGAAGTTCAGTTCCATAGTCAGGAACTATCAGATAGTTCCTGACTATGGAACTGAACTTCTCCAGGCCGAGGGACTGACAACCTCAAATTCTACGACTTTAAGGGTGATGGACTGATTACATCGTCTTCACATCTCTACTGTTCCTGCCTACTTTCTGTATTCGACTGAAGAAGCCTACTGTGTAGGCGAAACGTTTCGGAATAAAGTTGTCTAACTGTTGCATATGTGTCTTACCTAACAACCTGTCGGTATTGTATACCATTTTGATGTTCACCAGCAATCCTACCATCATGTAAATAAGTACAGGCTTTTGTTTTACACTCACTTAGCAGGAGGGTAGTACCTCCCTGGGTAGCTGCTGTCTACCAACCTACTACCAATTATTTATATAATACTTATATACAAAAATTTTTAAACACTACCTAAAATTATTTACAAAACATAACCACACTAATTATTTTTATTGAAGATTGTCTGTATATAATAACTAAGCTCTCAACATGAGAGAGAACAAATCCCATGAAAATACAAGCTGAACATATCTTGACAGTCTACAGTAACCCAAGTTATTATAAATATAAGTAAGTGTTAGAAAATCATTTCGTGCATTAAAAATTCCAAAAGAACGAGAACTCTGCTGATATCCACTAAGTTAGTATTGGAATGGAATCAGAGAACAGCAAATGTCATAGAATATTGGGACAATGAAAAGTCCTGAAATGAGGATCATGCTGAAACATAATGAAAGTTCATTTCCCCAAACCCTTACATGTCCATGGACCCAAAAGAAGACAATATTTATTATTATTAACACACTGGCCAATTCCCACCAAGGCAGAGTGGCCCAAAAAAGAAAAACTTTCACCATCATTCACTCCATCACTGTCTTGCCAGAAGGATGCTTTACACTACAGTTTTTAAACTGCAACATTAACACCCCTCCTTCAGAGTGCAGGCACTGTACTTCCCATCTCCAGGACTCAAGTCCGGCCTGCCGGTTTCCCTGAATCCCTTCATAAATGTTACTTTGCTCACACTCCAACAGCACATCAAGTATTAAAAACCATTTGTCTCCATTCACTCCTATCAAACATGCTCACGCATGCCCGCTGGAAGTCCAAGCCCCTCGCACACAAAACCTCCTTTACCCCATCCCTCCAACCTTTCCTAGGCCGACCCCTACCCCGCCTTCCTTCCCTACAGACTGATACACTCTTGAAGTCATTCTGTTTCGCTCCATTCTCTCTACATGTCCAAACCACCTCAACAACCCTTCCTCAGCCCTCTGGACAACAGTTTTGGTAATCCCGCACCTCCTCCTAACTTCCAAACTACGAATTCTCTGCATTATATTCACACCACACATTGCCCTCAGACATGACATCTCCACTGCCTCCAGCCTTCTCCTCGCTGCAACATTCATCACCCATGCTTCACACCCATATAAGAGCGTTGGTATAACTATACTCTCATACATTCCCCTCTTTGCCTCCAAGGACAAAGTTTTTTGTCTCCACAGACTCCTAAGTGCACTGCTCACCCTTTTCCCCTCATCAATTCTATGATTCACCTCATCTTTCATAGACCCATCCACTGACACGTCCACTCCCAAATATCTGAATACATTCACCTCCTCCATACCCTCTCCCTCCAATCTGATATCCAATATTTCATCACCTAATCTTTTTGTTATCCTCATAACCTTACTCTTTCCTGTATTCACTTTTAATTTTCTTCTTTTGCATACCCTACCAAATTCATCTACCAACCTCTGCAGCTTCTCTTCAGAATCACCCAAGAGCACAGTGTCATCAGCAAAGAGCAACTGTGACAACTCCCACTTTATGTGTGATTCTTTATCTTTTAACTCCATGCCTCTTGCCAAGACCCTCGCATTTACTTCTCTTACAACCCCATCTATAAATATATTAAACAACCACGGTGACATCACACATCCTTGTCTAAGGCCTACTTTTACTGGGAAATAATCTCCCTCTTTCCTACATACTCTAACTTGAGCCTCACTATCCTCGTAAAAACTCTTCACTGCTTTTAGTAACCTACCTCCTACACCATACACCTGCAACATCTGCCACATTGCCCCCCTATCCACCCTATCAAATGTTTTGTATATGCTGAAGATGCAACACAGTCAGTGCTGACTGCAAATAACAATTAGGATGCAATGAATCATAAGTTTAATTTACTTGCAATATTTTCAAGGAGTCAGAGACTAAAACAAATAATGTGTTATCTAGAGTTCCAGCAAACAACATTATACAGCCAACCAACTTCAATGATGCCTGAGAAACCATCACAAAAAAAAAAAAGTAGGTCAGCAATTAGTACTGAATGAAGAGATATTGAGACAACAATAGTGAAAAGTCTTCTTTAGGTTAAATGAAGAATAAATCTTAATTAAAATGAATATATAGTTTAATAATAAGGAAAAAAAATAATGTTTAGTGTTTTTTTTTTTTAACAAGTCGGCTGTCTCCCACCGAGGCAGGGTGACCCAAAAAGAATGAAAATCCCCAAAAAGAAAATACTTTCATCATCATTCAACACTTTCACCTCACTCACACAATCACTGTTTTTGTAGAGGTGCCCAGAACACAACAGTTTAGAAGCATATATGTATAAAGATGCACAACATATCTCTCCAAACTGCCAATATCCCAAACCCCTACCTCCTTTAGAGTGCAGGCATTGTACTTCCCATTTCCAGGACTCAAGTCCGGCTATATAAAAATAACCGGTTTCCCTGAATCCCTTCACTAAATATTACCCTGCTCACACTCCAACAGCTCGTCAGGTCCCAAATATCACTCGTCTCCATTCACTCCTATCGAACACGCTCACGCACGCCTGCTGGAAGTCCAAGTCTCTCGCCCACAAAACCTCCCTTACCCCTTCCTTCCAACCTTTTCGAGGATGACCCTTATCCCGCATTCCTTCCCCTAAATGTATAGAGAAGAAATATACAGTAATCAGATAATCACTCACCCCATGCCTCTCCAGTCAATCTGCGAGGCTGAATTGTTTTCGTCCCCATGAAGTAGGCACCTCGATGTATTGCACGGAGATGAGACAAGTCTCTCATTCTGTTTAGATGTTCCATTATCACAGTCAAACCTATGAGCAATACAAAATTTCATGACAGATCAATAAAGCTTTTAATGTTAAACATAATATATTCACATACAGTAAAACTTGTTAATACCTTCACACAACCAACAACCATAATTGTCCTCTTTCTGTGATGGTACATACAAATTTACAGCATGAAGTACACAACATAAAACCTTTAAATATCTTGGGTAGGCAGAGAAGTGTGTAAATAAGTGTAATGTTTGATACAATAAGGTCAGTGGCTAGAGTAATCTGAAAATACCTATTTTCATAAAGATGTAGCTGAAACTGTGAGTACTGCATACTCAATGTAAAGTTCCATATAAAAGATAAGAATAACCAATTTTTAATAAATATAAAGATGCTATTTCCTCAACAGTCATTGTCTCTCCAATAATACATTGCTCACACTCACCAAGCCACGCTTCCTCTCTATTTTGCTGCTTTATTTATTTGGTTCTTCATGTGTCACCAACAGCTGAACCCCCACATTTGTGGCAATCTCCCAAATTTGTGTGCTTCAATTAGCCAATGCTTTTAATGAGGACATCCCACTATACATTACTAAAGTTAATAAGAGAAGTACAGTGCCTGCACTCTGAAGGAGGGGTGTTAATGTTGCAGTTTAAAAACGTAGTGTAAAGCACCCTTCTGGCAAGACAGTGATGGAGTGAATGATGGTGAAAGTTTTTCTTTTTCGGGCCACCCTGCCTTGGTGGGAATCGGCCAGTGTGATAAAAAAAAAAAAAAATAAGAGAAACTTTTGTTTTTCATTTTTTGGGGCCACCCTGCTTCAGTGAGATGCAACCAGTCTATTGAAAGAAGATACATACTATATATAGAGTGGAACCTCGGTACTCGAACAGCTCCTTACTCGAACAAAGTTCAGCACTTGACCAAACAAACACGTCTTGCCAGAACCTCGTTGTTCACTGTTGCATGTTTCTTCACATTTTTTGGTGGTGCTTTTTTATATTATTTGTATAAATAAGTCACCATGGGGCCTACGAAGATTAGTGATAACAGCCAATCAAAAAGAAAATTGGTTGAGAAGAATTTATTCTATACTTGAATGGATCGGCACTTGAACAGTCTTTTGGAATGAATTAAGTTCAATTACCGAGGTTCCACCGTATATACATTTTTTTTTTAAACACATCAGCCATCTCTCACCAAGGCATGGTGACCCAAAACAGAGGCACTTTCACCATCATTCACACATAACCACACTCTTTGCAGAGGTGCCCAGATATGACAGTTGTCACTCCAAACAGCCAATATCCCAAACCCCTCCTTTAAAGTGCAGGTATTGTACTTCCCACCTCCAGGACTCAAGTCCGGTTAACCTGTTTCCCTAAATCCCTTCACAAAATATTACCCTGCTCACACTCCAACAGCTCATCAGGTTCCAAAAACCATTCGCCTCCATTCACTCCTATCTAACACGCTTGCACATGCCTGCTGCACATGAATATTCAAAAGATTAAAGCAATATTTCAAGAGATATAGGGCCTCCAAATGAGAAAACAATTTACGCACATGGATAAAATTTAGTTGCACTTATGATTCTGAATTTGAGTTAACCTTTGGAATCCTAACCATCACGAACTGGAGATTTCAAGAGAGCTGACCATCAATATAATAGACTAGAAGGAGGAATTCTCCGAGGGTCCATTTAATCAGAATAATGTTTAAAAAAATGCAGAAAAAGCACTAAGGCACTCAGTGTATACTTAATACAATACTGTGCATACAATTTACACATAAAATGCAATAGAATTTGAAAATCAATGAGGTACTCAGTGGATTTTGCCTTTTTTTTTTTTTTCAGAAATTCATTATACTGAGGTCCATTAAACATCTCAAGTGTAAGAAAGTGTCACCAAAAATGGCAATAACAAATTGACATTATATATGATATTCATGCAATTACCTGTGGTCTGCATACGTCCATATCCTGTCTTTGATGGCAGTGTTCCAGTAGCTATGAAGGCTTTGAACAGTGGGCCAATGTTTCTGCCTTTCATGGAAGCTCTTTTGACATCCTCTGAAAATGGAAGCTGAGTCAAAATGAAAGCCAATTATAAAAACACATTCTAAATTAGAAGGCACTGGAAGGAAACTACTCAATTTAGATACCAGACAAATTAAGAAAGGATGATGCATGGCAATTTTGGGAAAAGAATCACTTCAAGCCACAGAGTAAAATACAAAATTTTTAAATCTAATGGTAGAAGTGGCAGAAAAAAAATGAAAAGCTTACAATAATGAATGTTTACAATACATTTAACATGTGAACAAAAATAATTGACAAGAAGAATGAATGATGAACAGTATAGTGTACATTTATCTTCAATTTGTGGGCTAATTAAGATTTGTCCCAGATATAATATGATTTTTATTTTAAACTAATAAAAATTTTATTAAGAATATTTACTGCCTTCTAATATCCAGTTTGGGCCTATTTTTTTGTTCTGCATTTTCAACTGCAATTTAATAGAATTTAGTAGAGCTGTCAGTTTCTCTTTCAACAATTGTAGGCAAGTGTGACCTCCAAGAGTGACCTCCTGCATACTTAATGTATCCACAGACTCTTCCTTGCTCTCTCCACTGATGAAGGAGTAGAGTTTTCTGGCCATCAAGCAAAGTGTATCAAACTTCTCAATGTTGGACTTGCAATGAATCAACACACAGTGCCTAATCAAAATAAAATAATTATGTATATTACATCATGAAATTACAGATATTTTCAGTGCCTGATGCAAAGTACAATAAAACTGATAAATTTTATTGCTGCACTTTAACCTTTTGACAGCATTATAAAAGATCAAAGCCTGGAGGGTTAATTGACAATAAAATTTTGTTTTTATTATTTATATATTTTCTGACATATTCAACATACTTTTAAAATAAGAAACATAACTTTCTGTGATAGGGACCATGGAAGTTCACATTGGAATACTGTATTTCATACAAATGATGCCTCTGATAACTGCAGTATGGTCTTGGATGTTCTATTAACCCTTAAACTGTCCAAACGTAGATCTATGTTGACATGCGTAGTGCTCTGACACGCTACGCACATCAATGTAGATCTACGTTTGGACAGTTTAAGGGTTAAGCCCTCATTTGCCTCTATTTATACAGTCACTATCTGAATGTTGTGGTGCTCAGGTGTCACCTGAGACCTGCTCTACACACCCCAATTATGTTGGCATTTGAAAACAAGATAGCTGAGGAAAGTAGAGGACAGCCAAGCCCCCATAATGATTTCAACAGTTCTGTACAATAAAATGAATGTCTTACATAGAAGCCTATGCCATTCTGTGAATTATTTACTCACTCTCACATCTAGTATAGTAGGGCCCAAGTTTATGGCGTTTCACTTTACGGCATTTTGCTAATATGGACATTTCAAACTATGACCAAAATGCTTTATACAGCTCCTCCCACATGACTCACTAATACGGTCACCATGCACCACTCTGTTTACATCCTCCGTCAGCTCCACAGTATGTCTGGAAACCTTCCAAAATTTCAAGCGTTTTAAAGTTATTGCATATTTTATCTTCTTTCAACAAACCAGCTGTATCCCATCAAGGCAGGGTGGCCCAATTTAGTAATATATATAGGAGAAAGGGTTACTAACCCCTTGCTCCCAGCATTTTAGTCACCTCTTACGAAACACATGGCTTACGGAGGAAGAATTCTGTTCCACTTCCCCATATATATATACTCATATATACCCACATATACGTACGTACTCTGATAATTATATTTATGTGTGCCTGTACCTAAATAAACTTACACCCTGTATTGGCGTGCAAGTACACATTAAAATCGCTAAGAGAGTCTCACTAATCTCACTATCTTAACAATAATGATAATAATATTAATACATAATATCAATCACTCTTGGGCACATTAAATGTCGTATATGTGTATTAAGTTAAAATAGACATTTTCATTAATCCATCTAGGATATTTTTTTTCAAAATTATATAAGAAACTCACTACATAACATATAAACATGATATGTATATACACTCACAGTAGAATACATCTGACATAAATAAGAGATATGGTTACCAGGTGGCTTGTCAGAGTGACAAAAAAAGAATTACGTTTTCTCTAGTCCAACTGTAGAAACTTATTCCTTCACTGGTAACTAACAAAAAAAGGCACAATACCGTGACTGGAACGATACACAAATAACCCGCACATAGAAGAGAGGAGCTTACGACGACATTTCGGTCCGACTTGGACCATTTACAAAGTCACACTGTGTGACATTTACAGTCACACTGTGTCACGGTGTAACTTTGTAAATGGTCCAAGTCGGACCGAAACATCGTCGTAAGCTCCTCTCTTCCATGTGCGGGTTATTTGTGTAGCCTTCACTGGTAGCTATTTATTTATTCTACTGCGCTAACGTGAAGACAACATGTGCACAATGTAAGTGTATTGTGCGGTAAATGCTTCAACAACTCGTGCTACTGTACGTGTATGAACAAAAAGTGGACAGGTATTAATGCACATTTCATCTGACCGAGTGACTTCCCTTACGCGTTTGTCTGTTTATTTACATTCTTGGTGTCTCTCTCGTTTACAATGATATCTAACGTTAGTTATTAGAAATGATTAAACTCAGTGAACAAGGTATGTCGATGGTAATAATAATAATAATCGCTCTTGGGTACTTTAAATTTAAGCCGTATATTTCATGTATGTAGACAGCAACCAACCAGGGAGGTACTACCATCCTGCCAAGTGAGTGTAAAATGGAAACTTGTAATTGTTTTACATGATGGAAGGGTTGCTGGTGTCTTTTCTGTCTCATAAACATGCAAGATTTCAGGTACGTCTTGCTACTTCTTCTTACACTTAGGTCACACAACACATACATGTACAATCACATACAGTGGACCCTCAACCAGCAATATTAATCCGTTCCTGAGAGCTCATCGTTAATCAAAATAATCGTTAGTCAAGTTAATTTTCCCCATAAGAAATAATGGAAATCAAATTAATCCGTGCAAGACACCCCAAAGTATGAACAAAAAAAAATTTTTACCACATGAAATATTAATTTTAATACACACAAACTGAAGAAGACATGCACAGTTACATGACACTTACCTTTATTGAAGATCTGGTGATGATTGATGGGATGGTAGGAGGGGAGACCATTGATCTTGTTAGTGTTTAGAAGGGGAATCCCCTTCCATTAGCACTTGAGGTAGCAAGTCTTTTTCTGGGGTTACTTCCCTTGTTCTTTTAATGCCACTAGGACCAGCCTCAGAGTCACTGGACTTCTGTCGCACAACATATCTGTCCATAGAGGCCTGTACCTCTCGTTCCTTTATCCTAAAGTGTTTCACAACATTGTCAGTGTAATAGTCACCAGCACGGCTTGCAATAGCTGTGTGAGGGTGATTTTCATCAAAAAAGGTTTCCACTTTAAGCCACATTGCACACATTTCCTTAATCTTTGAAGTAGGCAACGTCTTCAATTTCTCTCTCCCCTCCTCCGAAGCAGTTTCCTCAGGTGTGGCCACTTACTGTTGAAGATGATCTAGCAGCTCATCAGTGGTTTGTTCTTCATTGTCCTCCTCCACCAACTCTTCCACATCCTCCCCACTAACCTCACCAATATGAGCACTAGTTATAGGCATTTTTTCCTGTTCACCTGGGTGTTAGTCAACTGTTGTGGGTCGCATCCTGGAGGACAAGATTAAGGACCCCCAATGGAAATAAGTTAGACAGTCCTCGATGATGCACTGACTGTCTTGGGTTATCCTGGGTGGCTAACCCTCTGGGGTTAATCGTTTCTCGGTAATTGTTTCACGTTAAGCCACGCCAACAACACTCTCTCCACATCTTCGAGTAATACAGCTGATGGTGGTGCAGCAACAACAACAGCTGACTGTGGTGCAGCAGCAGCTGCACCTTTGGCAAGAACAGCTTCCTTGATTGCCGTTTCCTTACCCACAATAGTAGCGATGGTTGATTGGGGTTTATTATACAACCTGACCAGCTCAGAGACACGCACTCCACTTTCATACTTAGCAATGATCTCTTTCTTCATCTCCATAGTAATTCTCACCCTTTTTGCTGTAGGGTTGGCACTAGAAGCTTTCTTGGGGCCCATGGTGACTTATTTTGCAGGTGCAATCACTACAAAGGCTGTGATAATATGAAATGTTCCAGTTGTTGTATGTTTGGAAGCGACCGCGGTGGCTGGCTGGCTTGTAAACACTGGCACCCAAGGGACAAGTGAGGCGCGCTCAGGCCAAAGTGGATGTGTATGGTACGGAACGAATAGCGCTGGTCGGGTTTTTAAGCGCTAGTTGAGGCAAAATTTTTGCGTTAAAATGTATCGCTAGTCAGATTTATCGTTAATCGATGCCATCGCTGGTTAAGGGTCCACTGTATATATACACACCTGTCTGGGTTTTCTTCTATTTTCTTTCTAGTTCGTGTTCTTGTTTGTTTCCTCTTACCTCCATGGGGAAGTGGAACAGAATTCTTCCTCCGTAAGCCATGCGTGTTGTAAGAGGCGACTAAAATGCCAGGAGCAAGGGGCTAGTAACCCCTTCTCCTGTATATATTACTAAATGTAAAAGGAGAAACTATCGTTTTTCCTTTTGGGCCACCCTGCCTCGGTGGGATATGGCCGGTGTGTTGAAAGAAAGATTTCATGTAGACAGCAACCGTCCAGGGAGGTACTACTGTCCTGCCAAGTGCGTGTAAAATGGAAACCTGTAATTTCTTTACATGATGGTAAGATTGCTGGAGTCTTTTCTGTCTCATAAACATACAAGATTTCAGGTACGTCTTGCTACTTCTACTTACACTTAGGTCACACTACACATACATGTACAAGCATATACAGTGGACCCAAACCTAACGAACGCATCGCGTAACGTTAAATCCGCCTAACAATACATTTTAACGCAAAAATTTTGCCTCGGCTAGCGCTAAAAAACTCGTTCAACGCGATTCGTTCGAGACGCGTCCACGTGCGGCCTGAGCCCGCCTCACTTGTTCCGTGGGTGCCAATGTTTACAAGCCAGCCACCGCGGTCGCTTCCAAGCATACAATCGGAACATTTCATATTATCACAGCCTTTTTAGTGATTGCACCTGCAAAATAAGTCACCATGGGCCCAAGAAAGCTTCTAGTGCCAACCCTACAGCAAAAAGGGCGAGAATTACTATGGATGTGAAGAAAGAGATCATTGCTACGTATGAAAGTGGAGTGCATGTCTCCGACCTGGCTAAGTTGTACACAAAACCCCTATCAACCATCGCTACTATTGTGACCAAGAAAACGGCAATCAAGGAAGCTGTTCTACCAAAGGTGCAACTTTGTTTTCGAAACAGAGATCGCAAGTGATAGAAGATGTTAAGAGACTGTTATTGGTGTGGATAAACGAAAAACAGATAGCAGGAGACAGCATCTCTCAAGCGATCATATGTGAAAAGGCTAGGAAGTTGCATGACGATTTAATTAGAAAAATGCCTGCAACTAGTGGTGATGTGAGTGAATTTAAGGCCAGCAAAGGTTGGTTTGAGAGATTTAAGAATCGTAGTGGCATACATAATGTAATAAGGCATGGTGAGGCTGCCAGTTCGGACCACAAAGCGGCTGAAAACTATGTGCAGGAATTCAAGGAGTACATAGACAGTGAAGGACTGAAACCTGAACAAGTGTTTAATTGTGACGAAACAGGCCTGTTTTGGAAGAAAATGCCAAGCAGGACCTACATTATTCAGGAGGAAAAGGCACTCCCAGGACATAAGCCTATGAAAGACAGGCTTACTCTGTTGATGTGTGCCAATGCTAGTGGTGATTGCAAAGTGAAGCCTTTATTGGTGTATCACTCTGAAACTCCCAGAGTGTTCAGGAAAAACAATGTCCTCAAGGCTAATTTGTGTGTGCTGTGGAGTGCAAACAGTAAGGCATGGGTCACTAGGGACTTTTTCTATGACTGGTTACACCATGCATTTGCCCCCACTGTGAAAAATTATCTAATTGAAAAGAAATTAGACCTTAAGTGCCTCCTGCTATTAGACAATGCTCCTGGTCATCCTTCAGATGTGGCAGAGCGACTTTCTGTGGAAATGAGCTTCATTAAGGTCAAGTTTTTGCCTCCTAATACCACTCCTCTCCTGCAGCCCATGGACCAGCAGGTCATTTCCAACTTCAAGAAACTGTACACAAAAGCTATGTTTGAAAGGTGCTTTGTAGTGACCTCAGAAACTCAATTGACTCTAAGAGAGTTTTGGAGAGATCACTTTAGCATCCTCAATTGTGTAAACATTATAGGTAAGGCTTGGGAGGAAGTGACTCAGAGGACCTTGAACTCTGCTTGGAAGAAACTGTGGCCAGAATGTGTAGACAAAGGGGATTTTGAAGGGTTTGAGGCTAACCCTGGGAATCCTATGCCAGTTGAGGAATCCACTGTGGCATTGGGGAAGTCTTGGGGTTGGAGGTTAGTAGGGAGGATGTGGAAAAGTTGGTGGAGGAGGACAATGAAGAACTAACCACTGATGAGCTGCTAGATCATCTTCAACAGCAAAAGGCCACACCTGAGGAAACTGCTTCGGAGGAGGGGATAGAGAAATTGAGAAAGTTGCCTACTTCAAAGATTAAGGAAATGTGTGCAATGTGGCTTAAAGTGCAAACTTTTTTTGATGAAAATCACCCTCACACAGCTATTGCAAGCCGTGTTGGCAACCTGTACACTGACAATGTTGTGAAACACTTTAGGAATGTCATAAAGGAACGGGAGGTACAGGCCTCTATGGACAGATAAGTTGTGCGACAGAGGTCCAGTGACTCTCAAGCTGGTCCTAGTGGCATTAAAAGAAGAAGGGAAGTAACCCCGGAAAAGGACTTGCCACCTCAAGTCCTAATGGAAGGGGATTCCCCTTCTAAACATTAACACCATCCACAGTCTCCCCTCCTCCCATCCCATCAATCATCACCAGATCTTCAATAAAGGTAAGTGTCATGTAACTGTGCATGTCTTCTTCAGTTTGTGTGTATTAAAATTAATATTTCATGTGGTAAAAATTTTTTTTTATTCGTACTTTGGGGTGTCAGGAACGGATTAATTTGATTTCCATTATTTCTTATGGGGAAAATTAATTCGCCTAACGTTGAGCTCTCAGGAACGGATTAATAGCATTAGGCAAGGGTCCACTGTACGTATATATGTCGTGCCGAATAGGGCAGAACTTGCAATCTTGGCTTAAATAGCAATGCTCATCTTGCCATATAGGACAAGCAAAAATTTGTGTACGCAATAATTTCGCCAAAATCATTCTGAACCTAACAGAAAAAATATATTTCACTGTGTATGTTTAGTATTAAATTATTGTAAACAAATCTAAAATATATTTAGTTTGGTTGGGCTAAAATAAATTGCTCTTGTTATAATAAGGTTAGGTAAGTTTTCTAAGATTCTTTTGGTGCAAAATTAAAAAATTTTATATTAACATTAATGAAAAAATATATCTTTAAACGTATAAGAGAAAATTTCAGAAAGGACTTAATTTTAAATGAGTTCTTGCTAATTGACCAGTTTTACATATTTGGCAGGACATATACATACACCTCTGGGTTTTCTTCTATTTTCTTTCTAGTTCTTGTTCTTATTTATTTCCTCTTATCTCCATGGGGAAGTGGAACAGAATTCTTCCTCCATAAGCTATGCATGTTGTAAGAGGCAACTAAAATGCCGGGAGCAAGGGCCTAGTAACCCCTTCTCCTGTATAAATTACTAAATTTAAAAAGAGAAACTTTCGCTTTTCTTTTTGGGCCACCCTGCCTTGGTGGGATACGGCTGGTTTGTTGAAAAAAAAAAATTCATGTAGGTATGGTAGCTGGTGTGGGAGCTAGCACACCTGATTTTCTACAATAAATACTATTCACCTCTCACCCTATATTAAGACTACAAATATTTTAAGGTAAATAATGAATGTACTGTGTGTGTGGATTTTACTTTTTATTGCTTTTTATTGCCTAGTGCTACTGTTACCTTGATATATGTTAGTATAAATTTGTTATCTAGCATTTATATATATTTATAAGTGGGAAAAAAAAAAGGGCATTCCACTTTACAGCGGTAACCAGGAATATAACATGCCGTATAAGTGGGGCCCTACTGTACATACCGGTGGGCCCTGCTTTACAGTGCTTTGCTTTAAGGTGATTCACTAATGCAGCAATTTTCAATCATACCCATTCTTCATTTGTTCAGACTTCCTACAATAAATATATTCACAACTCACTATAAGCTAAGGATGAAAATATTTTAAGGAAAGTAACGTGTGTAATGTATACATACGTTGTTCAGTGTTGCTCACTTAACCCTTTGAGGGTCGACAGGCCCTCTCCGAAACTCGTTCTCAGGGTCGGCCAAATTTAAAAAAAAAAAAAATTATTTTATCTTATGAAAAGATAGAGAATCTTTTCCCGATCATAAAGACACCAAAAGTTTGAAATTTGATAGAAAACTTACGGAATTATGCTCTCGCAAAGTTAGCGGTCTCGGCGATGTTTACGCATCGGCATTTTGCCCACTTTGAGCCCCATTTTCGGCCAATTTCACTGTACTAGTCGACAAAAAACATGAATATTTCGCTAGAACTCCATTTTTTCTATCGAATGGGTGCAAGAAACCACCCATTTATGAAATTCAACTATCCAGTACAGTGGTCAGAATTTAGCAATTTTGCCAATTTCACACAAATTTCAAAAGATGCCAATTTCCGAATAGGGTCCAGAATAAACAAGAAAGACATTCCTGGCACTAAAATGACATTTCCTCTAGTCATTAGTCACGTCTCAAGGCCCCTCTTATATTCTTTTGCTTTCCACTTTGAATTTTTATTTTCACAAAAAATATAAGATTTACTGTTATGCAGACTACTGCATTGGTGTAAAAAATGGTATAAATATTATTGGTGCACTTGTGAAAGAATATTAGACTCACCAGTTGACGTGTATTGCACGCTTGGCACGATTTGTTTACTTTTGAAGTTTGGTAAAAATCGAACATTTCTGCTACTTTGAGCTCAATTTCAAGGCACTTTTCATTGTAAAACCAGTCAAAATCATCTCAATTTCTGTAATATGTCTTCCATTCTATAAAATGAGACAAGAAAACTAGAATACAACAATAAATACCATACGAAAATACACTGCAAAGTCGCTGATTTATTAAAAAAAAATGGTCAAAGTTTTTTTTTTCTCATTATGCACTGTGTGCTGCAGGATTTTTTTTAGACTGTGCACACTGACCACATAGACCCATTCTTTCATATGAAGGCCTACCAGCTTTCTCCCACTAGATTTGAGGCCGCTAGAATTTATGAGTACTAGTACGTCAAAAACCCCTACGCGTAAAACGTACTAGTACGACCAAAACCCTCAAAGGGTTAATATATAATAGTGTAAACATGTTATCAGGCTTTTATTCACATTTAAAAGTGAAAAAAGGCTATGTTTCACTTTACAGTGATATTTGCCTTACAGCAGTAGCCCAGACCCTAACCTGCAGTATAAGCGAGGCCCACCTGTAAAATACATTATGATTTTGTATCCATATCTCACTGTCCAAAAATATTCCTTGTGTCTTTCTGTGAAAGCTCCAAACATTGAATATGTTTGTATGAGGAGCCCATTTACATGATTAATTTTGTTATTTTTCTTTGTTTTTCAAACCTAAATATATCAATTGAGGCACCAGCTTAGGAACTGTGTCCAACGGACACTGCAGAAAATACTAAAATGCTAAAAGATGACTTTTGAAAAATAGTATGATAAATACTGAGCAAAGTATAAAGTTTAGAAACATAACAAAAAAAAGAGATAAATGAGCAACAGTACAAGGAGATAAATAAAAAATTGTAAAAAGTAGGCAGTAGAAGCATACAGAGGAGCAATTTTTATTTATTTTTATTTTTTTGACAAGAGTAGCAGGGGAAGATGAGGATACAGACTGCATTACTCACGTAAAAAGGTAATCGTATATTTGTACATCGCTATACCAAGCCGGTACAATACCAAGAAGTTTCTCACGAAAGGATTTTCCAATGTATTCTCTACACATATCTTGTGTATACAGTCCTTCTTTCTGTAGCTCACACATCATGCTCTTGATTTTTCTGTAATATCAAAGGACAAATTTTAAATTGGGGTTAGATAATAAACTACCAGGATCTTTAAAGTAAATAACAATCATAAAACAATACAGTATATACAGGACCAAATTAAATTTTCATCAGTGTTTACAAATTTTAAATTAAATCTGATTCCAAATTTGTAAAAAGCCATTCTAGTTAATATATGTAAATGTGCCTGTCCACTTAAGTGAGCCTGCCTATTTCTGTTCTCTAAGGATCCCTTTTTCAGCTCTATTTGTTATTCATTTCTTCCACTCATTATTTTATACAGTACCTGTATTTTGGGTGCGACTTCTTTATTAGTTTTTTCTCCTTCATGTTTACTCAATGACTCCAGGGTGTCAAGAGTTTCACTTCACTTACTACCTGTCTCTCCAATACTCTATTCCAGTCTCTTGGGTTTTGGGAATTGTTTATTTTGTTAGGTCATCCTCTTCCTCTTCTAGGGTAAATTTGTCATCATACTACTAGCTATGGCTTCCAAAACTCACTGCACCTTAATGTAACATTAAAGTACAATAAGCCCTGGCTGTATTTAAAAGCTTGATCCTAGTTTTTAACGTACAGTACTCAACTGTGTGGCTTCAGCATATCAGCTGAAGTTTTTCTTTATTAGGCACATTAACCAAATTGTTAAAACTGTATTACTGTACTAATGTAAACTGTACTATTATAATATATTTTGCTGCCTGTCTACTATAAATTTTATTTATTATAAATTTTGCTACCTTCTACTGTTGTAATAATACATAATTAAAATTTACCACTTTGTAACCTATGTCTAATTTTAAGGAACCTGTAAGCATTAGTGTTATTCTACCCAAAATGCTCATGCATTCTAGTGCCTTTCTTTGTGCTTGGCAATATTTTATTACATGTAAACTACACATTGTACTGTACAAAGAAATAAAGGATTTGATTTGATTTTAAAATAAATAGTGTAACTATGGAAATGGAGTTTCATATTCTTTGAAAGATAAGAGCTATACCTTACCTGGGTTGATACCCATCTTGTCAATGAAAACTTCAATGTTACTTACTCGGAAAAATATTTGTCAGTCTCACGGCCCCTGATAAGGTGAAGATAAATCTGATGGTCAGTTAAATCCATTAAGGCCTTTAGACACATGATAAGTGGTATTACATAGAGCTGTTTTCCCAAAAGAAATGAGAGCTTGGCTCCTCCTGTTGTCAAGTAGTGAAGCTCATTCACTGAAGAGAACTGCAAAAAAAGATTTTTGAATATTTAATCCTGAAAAAACAGCTAAACTTAACAGCCTGATCAACTTTAAAAGATTGAGTGATCCAATAAAAACTCTTCTGCAGCCATTTAAACAGCTTTCCAATGCTAAAAATATCACAAGAAGTGATCTTTAATAATAAAGCAGTGACAGTCAAGATTTTAAATTACACAAAATACAATTACAACATGAAGAAGCAAAATTAAGAGCACCTACATGTTTACTCCTCAACAACTGCTGCTTACCTGATCTTCCTGCACACATCGCATTAAGAGGCCCTTGTCTGTGAAACCTGCACCTCTCTTTTTCCAAGCGTCTCTGGTTATGGCAATAGGATAGTTTCTACGGTTTGTTGATAACATTCTGCAGAAAAAATGTACCACATTAAACAAAATCTTTTGCACAGCATATATGAATATGAAAAATGTGCACTAAACAGGAAACAGCAATGAATGAACAAGAATTCAATGAAAACAACCAGAAAAATAATGAAAACAAATGTATTAAAAACTATTTTACATACATACATGGAGCCCCTTCCCAGACATAGATATACCAGATGATAAAATTCACTACATCCAAGTTTGGCCCAGTAGCCCCACATTAACCCTCCTCGCCTGTAGCCAGATGAACCTGGCCTGTCTGCTGTTTGCCTGGTCAACAAGGCTGTTGCTGCCTATTGTTTTTAATGTAAAAAGGCATTTAAAATAAAAAAAATTGGCATTTTTGGAGGTCTGTGGAGGGCAATTCTATACTCATATTCATCGAATTTTCAGGAATGTGACCTGCACTGTAAATAATAAAGAATTAGACACATGTGCAACATCTGGGTATCTTTATTTGTACAAATTATGCCAACTAGTGGCTTTATCAATGCAAGGACATAATGTTAAGAATTATATACAAAATATGAAGTAATCAGTCTCTCAGCAATTCTTTAGGACACAAACAGGTAATCTCAAATAAGTTATCACAACTCTAATAGCAAACGGCAGAAGAGCAAAACTGCATATTGCACCTTAGAACTCGATAAGCACCATTGACGATGAAGTAGCCACCAGTCTCGTTGACTAGCTCACCATGCTTGACTAGCTCCTCTGGAGTCAGGTTGTGCAGATTACAGTTCTTGGACTGGAAATGTTAAAAGTGGCCACAGTTAAAATACACCTACAGTCTCACAATTATGAAATTATAATCTAAGACAATAATCATGAATTAAAAAGCAAGTGTACACTGAATTACAGTGTCAAGGAGTCCCACACTAACACAGTGATTGTATTGATGCTGGCATCAATGATGTAGAGATACATGAGTGATGCTGGCATCAGTGACAGAAATCTATGTGTGATGCTGGCATCAATGATGTAGATCTGTGTGTGATGCTGTCATTAATGACAGTTCTAAATGAGTGATACTGGCATCAATGACATAGTTCTACACAAGTGATGCTGGCATCAATGACACAGACCTATGTAAACAACAGTGAAAGAGTTAATTAAACATGACACATAACTACATCCAACTACAATAACATTATCTTTTTTTTTTTTTTTAATAATTTAGAGACCAAATGATATTTGCCATTTCTGGGGAGGTCTGACATAAGTAACCTTATTTTTCCAATATGTTCTTCAGTTCATCTTTGAAGATGCCATTCTCAAAAACGTAACTGTCTTAACCGATGGTCAATTGTATGTTCTTTATTTATGCCTGTCTTGCAATTGTATTATATGAAGTACTTAAATCAATTCTTTCCTCATTCTATGCATTTTGGAGGCATAGCAAATGAAATGGCTAATACAGTGGTGTGAACATTCTGCAGGATAGTAGAGGTATCAGTTTCCCATGCTGCTATATAATTTTGAAGGTGCCTTCAAAGGTTGGAGTTCACTGATTGCCTTGATCTTCATTTTTCTATTATAATTTATCTTACCAGTTGGGAGAGTCATTCCCTATCTCCAGAAAATTGCTTATCTGGTAATACCATATATGCACACAGCTATCAAACTCAACATGTTCCTAAACTTGGTCATACTACTTGGTCATACACAACTACTACTACTACTACTGGTATGTGAATAAATTTAGTAACAGTGATTATGGCATGTATGTACACAACTATGTGAATAAACAGGTTCATCTAACATAATCAAAATCCCATATAATTGTACTGTATTATTAACATTAGTCTTTAGCCAACATATTCTACTACAGATTAGTGTTTTCCATAGAGTGGGTTGCAGCACCAATGAGGGCTGTGTATAGGATAAACAATCAGTAGGTCCTCTGGTAAACAAGCTCAGGACAATAATAGTAATTTTATAGGTAAGTGTTAAATATAAAGGCGTCATACAGCACTTGACGTATTAAGGGTAATCAGGTTTGAGACACAGAAGGGGATAGAAAGTCAAATTTCTTGTATTAAAAGCAATACACTTGCATCAAGGCCCCCTCCTCTTTTAGGGATACTGGCTTTGAATTACTGAACTAGATTATACTCTTATCATTAACATTTTCTAATACTCCAATAGCACATAAATTATCTCACAAGTTTGATAACTTATACTTACTTTGATCATAATAGGTAAGTCTCCCAGTGACTGTCTGAACGATAACACTTCTTCGTTATCACAAGTCCACTCTATCACTGCGCTGGCTGGTGCAGTGTATGAGCCACCACGTTCAACACATTCTTTAGGGTAAATATCGAGGTTTGAGACTTCTGCAACTCCAGGTGGTAGCCTGGGCTTTCCAACCGTAATATCCTGAAATTTAATATTATCTTCCATAAGACAATTTCTATGGCAAATATGATATGTATGCAAGGGATGTGGTACATCTATCTGGGGCAAGAGTGGTAGCATTAGCCAACTCGATGGAGGGGGGCTATTGCTGACTTGTCTAGGACAAGTCATAAAGTTACTAATAAAGGAAATGCATCTGGTCAACAAACAGAGACAGTAAAGAGCAGCGAGTGACTAGCTCCCCAAGATTTACTATAATAATAGTAGGAGTATACAAACTCAGATAGATCAGCTAAGATTAATTGCATGTGCAGGAAGGACAGATATTATTGCTATAAGAGAAATCTGGATCAACCTGAAAGACAGAGAAATGCCTTCTGAATGCCACATACAGGGCTTTTAATTATTTCACACTGACAGGGTCAACAGGAAGGGTGGTGGAGTGTTGATGAATGTCAGAAATAACTTAAATTGTTATATTAGACATGATATAAAATTAGAAGTGTTGGACTTGGCTTTAGGAAAGGTAGGGGGTGTGTGGACCAGGTGTTTAGAGTGAAACATATAAGTGAACAGTATTTAGATAAGGCTAAAGAGGTCTTTGTGGCATTTATGGATTTGGAAAAGGTGTATGACAGGGTGGATAGGGGGGCAATGTGGCAGATGTTGCAGGTGTATGGTGTAGGAGGTAGGTTACTGAAAGCAGTGAAGAGTTTTTACGAGGATAGTGAGGCTCAAGTTAGAGTATGTAGGAAAGAGGGAAATTATTTCCCAGTAAAAGTAGGCCTTAGACAAGGATGTGTGATGTCACCGTGGTTGTTTAATATATTTATAGATGGGGTTGTAAGAGAAGTAAATGCGAGGGTCTTGGCAAGAGGCGTGGAGTTAAAAGATAAAGAATCACACACAAAGTGGGAGTTGTCACAGTTGCTCTTTGCTGATGACACTGTGCTCTTGGGAGATTCTGAAGAGAAGTTGCAGAGATTGGTGGATGAATTTGGTAGGGTGTGCAAAAGAAGAAAATTAAAAGAGAATACAGGAAAGAGTAAGGTAATGAGGATAACAAAAAGATTAGGTGATGAAAGATTGAATATCAGATTGGAGGGAGAGAGTATGGAGGAGGTGAATGTATTCAGATATTTGGGAGTGGACGTGTCAGCGGATGGGTCTATGAAAGATGAGGTGAATCATAGAATTGATGAGGGGAAAAGGGTGAGTGGTGCACTTAGGAGTCTGTGGAGACAAAGAACTTTGTCCTTGGAGGCAAAGAGGGGAATGTATGAGAGTATAGTTTTACCAACGCTCTTATATGGGTGTGAAGCATGGGTGATGAATGTTGCAGCAAGGAGAAGGCTGGAGGCAGTGGAGATGTCATGTCTGAGGGCAATGTGTGGTGTGAATATAATGCAGAGAATTCATAGTTTGGAAGTTAGGAGGAGGTGCGGGATTACCAAAACTGTTGTCCAGAGGGCTGAGGAAGGATTGTTGAGGTGGTTCGGACATGTAGAGAGAATGGAGCGAAACAGAGTGACTTCAAGAGTGTATCAGTCTGTAGTAGAAGGAAGGGGGGGTAGGGGTCGGCCTAGGAAAGGTTGGAGGGAGGGGGTAAAGGAGGTTTTGTGTGCAAGGGGCTTGGACTTCCAGCAGGCATGCGTGAGCGTGTTTGATAGGAGTGAATGGAGACAAATGGTTTTTAATACTTGACATGCTGTTGGAGTGTGAGCAAAGTAACATTTATGAAGGGGTTCAGGGAAACTGGCAGGCCGGACTTGAGTCCTGGAGATGGGAAGTACAGTGCCTGCACTCTGAAGGAGGGGTGTTAATGTTGCAGTTTAAAAACTGTAGTGTAAAGCATCCTTCTGGCAAGACAGTGATGGAGTGAATGATGGTGAAAGTTTTTTTTTTTGGGCCACCCTGCCTTGGTGGGAATTGGCCAGTGTGATAATAAAAAAAAAATAAAAAAAAAAATTAGAAGTGTTGGACATAGAATCTGTTTGGCTACAGTTTCTTGAGGGTTGTGAAAAATTAATCTTGGGTGTGACTTACAGGCCCCCAGGCCTTGGTAAGAAATGCAGAAAACTTGTATGGAACGAAATTCACAAAGCATCTAAATATAAAAATGTTGTGCTGATGGGAGATTTTAAATGGAGACAAGTTGATTAGAGCAATTTGACAGGAAATCTTGAGTCCAGCAACTTTCTTCATATGATTCAGCATTGCTCTTTAGTTCTTGCCAAAAAGGAATTACTAATTAATAACCTTAAGGCTAATGATGAGCTTAGGGAAAGCGATCACAAATCACTCAGTTTCAATATATCATGAAATTACCTTAATAACTACAATCAAGTCAATTTCCCCGACTTCTGCTTGGCCAATTCGTAGAACTCAGAAAGTATCTGGATGGATTGAATTGGAATGACCTGATTATGGGTCAGGTTGGTTGCTGATATGACATTTTTCAAAGCATAGTTCTAGCTGCTCAGACTACTTATGTTTCAAATAGGGAAATTAGATCAAACAAGAATGACCCTAAATGGATAAACAATTGATTAAATCATATCATAGGGCAAAAGAGAGGTATTTACAGACAAATCAAAAGGAAAGATAGGCAGTTAAGAAATCAATATATTCAATTAATAAGAGAAATAAAAAAGGGAATATGAAAAGCAAAAGAGATTATTACCTGGAGTATACCTAGAGAGAGTTTTGGGGGTCAATGCCCCCCATGGCCCAGTCTGTGACCAGGCCTCATAAGGTTAAAGTCACAAGAGATTCAAAGATTAACCCAAAAGATTTCTTTCAGGAGTATGGAAGTAAGATCAAGGACAAAATAGGCCCACTCAAAAGCTAATTGGGTCAGCTCACTGACACTGATAAAAAAATGTGTAAAAGTTTTAACACTCATTTCCTCTCAGTTTTTATGCAGGAAAATACCAATGAAATTCCATAAATAATAAACTATGTAGAACAGGAGGAAAATAAGTTATGCATGATCAAAGTCATTAGTGGCATGGTTCTCGAGCAAATAGATAAATTAAAACTTTATAAGTCCCCAGGACCTGATGAACTGTTCATAAGAGTTTTAAAGGAATGTAAGGAGGAACCTATCTATAAAGCAGGAGACAGTTCATTAGCTTCGAACTATAGACCAATAAGGCTAACCTCCATTGTGGGAAAATTGATGGAATCAATAACTGCCAAGGCTATTTGAAGGCACCTTGCAAGACATAAGCTGATTAATGAATCTCAGCATGGTTTTAAAAAGGGGCAGTCCTGCCTTAAAAATTTATTAACTTTTTTTTACTCAAGTATCTGAGGAGGTAGATCATGGTAATGAATATGATATTGTGTACATGGGCTTCAGTAAGGCTTTTCACAGAGTTCCACATCAGAGGTTATTCAGGAAAGTAGAGGCTCACGAAATAGGAGAAATTTTTTCCTGGATAGAGGCGTTGTTGACAGATAGACAACAGAGAGTCTGCATAAATGGGGAGAAATCAGAATAGGGAAGCATCACAAGCAGTGTTCCACAGGAGTCAGTGATGGGTCCTCTGTTATTGACAATTTACATAAACCACATAAATGAGGGAATAAATACCGACATAAGCAAGTTTGCTGACGACACTAAAATAGGCTGTCAAATAAATTCTGACGAACACACTACGTACAGCACAGCAGGAATATCTGAATAGATTGATGCAGTGGTCAAAGAGTGGCAGATGCAGTTTAATGTAGATAAATGCAAAGTTCTATACGACTCACAAAATCGCAATGACACAATTGCAAACAAACCATACCACGGGTGGGGTTAGAACCCCCGATCAAAGTCTCAAAACTCCAGACCGACGCGTTAGCCACTGGGCCAGCTACTTATAAACTAAATAATGTTAAGCTTAATATCACTGACTGTGAAAAAAGATTTAGGAGTTCTGGTTAGCAGAAATCTAAAACCAAGACAGCAGTGCATAAATGTTCGCAATAAAATTAATAAAATTCTCGGCTTCATATCAAGAAGTATAAATAATAGGAATCCTCAAGGTACTAAGTGTTCATGGCGGAAGGACAACTTACGGTCACCATCAGGGAAATTCTGCTTCCACTCAGCATTTCAAATTCTAATGCAGGAAGGGTTGAGAGAAGAGCCTGGAGACCTTCCTCCAGGAAGAAGTTAAATGACTCAACATGAGGAGCAGCCAGGGCCTGAATAGCCTGCAATTATAAATAAGTTTTTAATATATAACAAAACTAAAAAAGGATCAGATATTGTTATTATTAATACAGTGGACCCCCGCATAACGATCACCTCCGAATGCGACCAATTATGTAAGTGTATTTATGTAAGTGCGTTTGTACGTGTATGTTTGGGGGTCTGAAATGGACTAATCTACTTCACAATATTCCTTATGGGAACAAATTCGGTCAGTACTGGCACCTGAACATACTTCTGAATTGAAAAAATATCGTTAACCGGGGGTCCACTGTATACAGTGGAACCTCGGCTTACGAATGCCCCACCATGCGAATTTTTCAGGATACAGTCACTCGATCGATTTTTTTGCTTCTGGATACAAACGAAATTTCAGGATGCGAACTTCCCCCTCAAGGGAGGTTCCTTGGTGAGGGGCTCTTGATCAAGGGAATTAGATTTGTGCTCCACTTCCCTAAATTAATAATAATAATAATAATAATAATAATAATATTATAATAAGTTATTATTACATACCTACTAATAATAATAATACACTGCAGCAGGCCTGTTGGCCCATGCTAGGCAGGTCCTTCACAATCCATCCCACTAAAAGAATATTTTCCCAACTCAATTTTCAATGCTACCCAAGCAATTAGCTTTGATAATTCTATTTACTCATGTGCAAGTTCCACTCACATCCAACCCCTCTCACGCATGTATTTATCCAATACAAATTTGAAACTACCCAAGGTGTTAGCCTCAGTAACCATACTAGGGAGATTGTTCCACTCATCAACATAAGAACATATGAAAGAAGGAACAATGCAGCAGGTTTGTTGGCCCATACTTGGCAGATCCTTCACAAATCCAGCCCACTAACAGAATAAATGCTACCCAAGCAATAAGCTTTAATAATCCTGTGATAAATGGTTTAATAATCCTGTTAATAATCCTATTTAATCATGTGCAAGTCCCACTCATGTATTTATCCAACCTAAATTTGAAACTACCCAAGGTTTTAGCTTCAATAGAACCTTGGGTAGCTTTAACCCTTAAATGGTCCAAACGTATATATACGTTTTTTCAACATCCGAAAGTACGCAAAAAAATGTAGATTTTTTTTGTTTGTTTTACATGTGAAAACGTGTAAAAAACTTTTATCTACATTTTTTTTTGTTATATTTGAAAATATGTAAAAAAAGTAGATCTACTTTTGTAGCACTACGAATTTGAATGTCGATCTGTTTGGACCGTTTAAGGGTTAAAGATAGATTGGACAAATATATGAGTGGGAGGAGATGGGTATGATTGGCATCATGGGTACATAATAACATTAGAGAGGAGGAATACTGCAGTAGGTCTGTTGGCCCATACTAGGCAGGTCTTTCACAGATCCAACCCACTAACAGAATACTTAGCTCAGTGAGGATGTGTCGAGTGTGCTCTCTGCTCTGTGACCTGTACTTAGCTCTGTGAAGACTTGTTTGTGTGCTCTCTGTGAATCTAAACCAAGATGCCCTCTCTTGAGCAACTCTACCAGCAGCTAAAAGAGAAGCTTAGGGTTGCTAAGCTGGAGATATGGCGATTAACGGAGGAGAACAAGAAGATTCATAGTAATCCTCCTGTTGAGTCCTCAGGTTAAGAGGGAAACCTGGTCAGTGGCCGGGCAACATGGAACCAAGCTGAGGATCAAGAAGACTGTTGGAGAGGCAGAAACAACGAAGAACCAGAAGACTACTATGGAAACTTCCAACCCATTTTCAGTGCTACCTGATGAATGTGGGTTGTCTACTGGGAACGTCACAAGCTCAAAGGAAGCATTAGCAGATGTGAGTGAAATATTCCTTGAAACCCCAACGAAGACCATTGAGAACGTCACGACGAATTCCACAAGTGAAGGTAAGAACATTGTTTTAGTTGGAGACAGTCAGGTTAAGTTTATGGATAAGGCCTTTTGTCTTAGGGACAGGATGAGGAGGCAGAGGGTATGTTTTCCAGGGGCTGGGGATGGGGGATATTGTTAGCCATCTGGACGACATCATGAAAGGTAATGGGAGCAATCCTATTATCTGCCTCAGTGCGGGAGGCAACGATGTTGGCAGACGTAGGAGTGAGGACCTGATTAGCAGGTATAGGTCAGCAATAGAAATAATTAGGAAGAAGGATGGGAACCCTGTCATATGTGGTATTTTGCCAAGGAGAGGAGTTGGAAATGAATGGTTGTCCAGGGCAACTGGTGTCAATTGCTGGCTGGACAAATACTGTAAGGAAAATGCGGTAACATTCATTGACAACTGGGACCTCTTCTATGGCAGAAATGACATGTATGCCTGGGATGGGGTTCACTTATCTAGGTCTGGGGTGGGGGCACTGGCAACTGCAGTGGAGGGAGCTGTTAGGGCTTTAAATTAGGAATAGTTAGTGGTATGGGTTTTGGCGGGAATACAGTGAAGTGCCAGTGTAGAAATATTATGAGTTCTAGGGGAACTAGTAATAGGCAGAATGAGGTGGATACTGGAAAGCCAGTGGCACTAGGTGACAAGGACAGTAATATGTTTAGTGGAAAAATGGAAATGAGCAGGAAGGGTAAAGAGAAAGGAGGGTCTTTAAAAATATATTATGCTAATAGCCGTAGTGCTAGGAATAAGATGGATGAGTTGAAATTAGTTGCTAGTGCAGGTAACATTGATGTATTTGCCATCACTGAGACATGGTTTAATTCCAAAAGTCGGGACATGCCTGCAGAATGTCACATTCAAGGTTTTTAAATAGAAGTATCGGGAACAGGGGTGGGGTGGCACTGTATGTCTGTGATCGCTTGAACTGTTGCATAAAAACAGGTATTAAGTCTGAAGTAACACATACAGAGTCTGTCTGGATAGAATTTTCAGAAGGGCATGAAAAATTGATTTTAGGAGTGATATACCATCCCCCTAACTTAGATAGGGACCAAGGGAGATTACTATGGGAGGAAATTGCTAAGGCCACATGGCACGATAATGTAGTAATTCTAGGGGACTTTAACTTGAGTCAGATTGATTGGAATTTCTTGACTGGGAATTTAGAATCAAATGACTTCTTAGAAGTAGTTCAGGACTGTTTTTTGAAGCAGTTTGTGACAGAACCTACAAGGGGAAATAACCTGCTTGACTTGGTTCTGGCAAACAGGGAAACCCTTGTTAATAATTTAGAAATTACAGAGGAACTCGGCACAAGCGATTACAAATCAATTACCTTTAGCATAGAATGGAAAGTATGACAGTAGGGATAATTCAGTAATGGTCCCAGATTTTCGCTTAGCAGATTACAATGGGCTTAAGAGAACACTTATCATCTGTTAACTGGGGTAACGAAGAGAGCTATCAGTATGACAGTTTTCTGAACACTATACGTACGTGCTGCTCAAAGAACATTTATCCCATATAAAGAAATTAGATCGAGTAAAAATGACCCAAAATGGATGAATAATAGGCTCAAATATCTTTTAAGGCAGAAGAAAGGAATTTATAGACATATCAAAAGAGGTGAGGGTCATTTTATGAATCGGTATATTGACATTAAGAGTGTTAAAAAGAGGATAAGAAAAGCTAAACGGGATTCGAAAACTAACCCAAAAAGTTTTTTCCAGGTGCATAGAACAAAAGTTAGAGATAAGATAGGGCCCCTTAAAAATAACTATGGGCATCTTACTGACAAAGAGAACGAAATGTGCTCAATTTTAAATAATTATTTTCTCTCAGTTTTTACACAGGAAGACACTAACAATATCCCGGTAATTAATTTTTATAGTGGGCCTGAAGAAGATAAATTATGTAACATCACAGTCACTAGTGAAATGGTTATGCAACAAATAGACTGACTGAAACAAAATAAATCGCCGGGTCCTGATGAGCTTCTTTCAAGGGTTCTTAACCCTTTGAGGGTCGCCAGGCCCTCTCAGAGACTTGTTCTCAGGGTCGACCAAAATTTAAAAAAAAAAAAAATTATTTTTTCTTACGAAAAGATAAAGAACCTTTTCCCGATCATAATGACACCAAAAGTATGAAATTTGATGGAAAACTTACGGAATTATCCTCTCGCGAAGTTAGTGGTCTCGACGATGTTTACGCATCAGCGATTTTGCCCACTTTGAGCCCTATTTTCGGCCAATTCCAGTGTACTAGTCGATAAAAATCATAACTATTTCGCTAGAACTCCATTTTTCTATCGAATGAGTACAAGAAACCACCCATTTACCTATTTCAACTATCCAATAAAGTGGTCAGAATTTGGCAATTTTGTCAATTTCACAAAAATTTCAAAAGATGCCAATTTCCAAATAGGGTCCAGAATAAACAAGAAAGACATTCCTGGCACTAAAATAACATTTCCTCTGTTCATTAGTCACATACCCATGCTCCTCTTACATTTCTTTTGCTTTCCACTTTGAATTTTTATTTTCACAAAAAAATAGAAGATTTACTGTTATGCAGACTACTGTATTAGTGTAGAAATGGTATAAATAATACCAGCGCACTTGTGAAAGAATATTAGATTCACCAGTTGACGTGTATTGGACGCGTGGCATGATTTGTTTGCTTTTGAACTTTGGCAAAAATCAAACATTTCTGCTACTTTGAGCTCAATTTCAAGGTACTTTTAACATTGTAAAACCAATCAAAATCATCTTAATTTCTGTAATATGTCTTCCATTCTATAAAATAAGGCCAGGAAAACTAGAATACAACCATAAATACCACACAAAAATACAGTGCAAAGTCGCTGTTTTAAACCATAAACATGTCAAAGTTTTTTTTTTTCTCATTACGCACTGTGCTGCAGGCTTTTTTTTATACTGTGCACACTGACCATATAGACCCATTCTTTCATATGTAGGCCTACCAGCTTTCTCTTGCTAGATTTGAGGGCACTAGAATTTATGTGTACTAGTACATCAAAAACCCTGGCGCATAAGCCGTACTAGTACGTCGGAAATCCCGAAAGGGTTAAAGAATGCAAAACGGAACTCTGTGAACCATTA